CTGCAAAACGTTGTGGCTTCTGTCTCTTTCTATCTGAACGTCTTAGTCCGGAAGGAGAGTCAGACTCCTCAGACTTAATGGGACTATGTAAACTACTAGTTTCAGGTTGTAAATCATCATTGTCAGACTGAAGAGATGCCTGTTGGCTAAGCTCACGGTCAGAAAACTCAAGAGAATCTAACCTCCCCTCGGGTGCCTGTGACTTTAAATCATCAAACAAATTATCAGATTCAACAGGCTTTTCGTCTTTTCCCATTAATTCAGAAGCACCACTTCCTGCTGCTGCTGCTGTCTTCTTCTACCTCTTCTTCCTCAGTATTATCTATACCGTTAGTATCTTGGAAAATAGCAACGCCATTCCAATTTACAGTTTGTATCATGCTTCTGGTAATATGAAATTTGCCAGTTGCTGGTATGTAAATTCTGTACGCCTCTGCTGGTAGCCCATTAATTTTCCCTGGACACTACGTTCACCCAATTTCTGCTTAGCGGGATAATGCATTATTACATCTGAACCCCAAATGCGTAGGTGTTTCAAATTAGGGCGTTTTTTAAACAGCTTCTCATAGGGGGTGACATCTAAACCAGAATGATAACTGCGATTCCTAACATAACAAAAGGCATTGAGCGCTTCAGCCCAAAAGTCTTTGGGCAGATTAGCATCGTGCAGATAAGTTTTAACCCCTGCCTGCAGGTCACGCTGCACAACTTCAACAAGCCCATTTTGCCAGGGACTTCGGGGGCAAGATAACTCATGAGTAGTCCCCTGCGCTTCCAGGAATTTCTCAAAATCCTCAGAAACAAATTCCCGCCCGGTCAGAAAAAAAGGTTCTTAATAGGTTTGTTAAAATGTGTTTTTACCCAGTTGCAAAAACTTTGTACTTCTCAAATGCTTGGGACTTCTCAGCTATTGCATAAGTCCAACAATATCTACTATACTGGTCTATCAGGGTAAGCCAGTACTTAGAACCTCCTAAGGATGGTGGGAGTGGCCCAACTAAATCACAATGTACACGCTCAAATGGCTCAGTTACTTTCCTATCTGAGCACCTACCCTTGCGTGCAACCTTAATCTTATTCTTGCAACAGGATAGACATTGCATAAAGAATTTACATGGTTTTAAGTTGAGGCCATTAACAATATTCTTGGTCTTAATTACATCAGCAAAATTCAGATGTCCCAGAATTCTGTGCGCCTCATGGACACACCCAGAATGTGGCCTTACATTCCTCAACCCCTGGCTTGACTGTGCTGCTCTGCAATTTATAGGCGATTGGGAGTAGGTGCGAAAATACAGTCTATATAAACCATCAGATTCCCGGGCATACAATAGACGTTTGTTCCCTCGAAAAACTCACACATTGACTTTAAGAAACGCACAGTTATGCCTTGACGAGCAAAACACCTTACTGACAATAAATTGTCCACTGATGGGCAGTAAATGCAGTTCGCTATAGTAATGTTTAAAGAGTCAAGTTTAACAGTACCCCTGCCAAGCGACTGCAAGACTTGTGAATTGGCTAAATGTACATTACCAATTTCCTCTTCGAAAGAAATAAACAAGCTTCGATCGTTGCAAACGTGCTGAGATGCTCCTGAGTCCACAATAAAAGAATTCCACTTGGCACCTTTAATTCTTTTACGATCTCTTGTGCTAGCGTGAAAAGCTCGCGGCTCGTTTCTGTCTTTACGGTACGATGCCGGCTGCTGAGCTGACGACCGTGACTGACGAACAGAAACAGACTTGGGAGTACTTTGCTTTCTTTTGGATCTGCAGTCCTTTGCAAAATGTCCTTGCTTATTGCAGAACCAACAACGCTTTGCAGCTTTAAATGCAGTTGTATCACCACAAGTTTGCATATGGCGTTCCTCATTCTTTCTGGAAATAGGAGTGCTTATGGCACAAGCCTCCCTTCTGTCCAACTCGCCCATTAATCTTGCCGTTACCCCTTCCACAGTTAATTGTGCTGGTGGAACGGCAGATATCTGGCTAGCTATACCATCAAAGTCCTCATTAAGGGAACAAAGGATGATGAAAACATACTGAATATCAGGTATCTCCATGTCCCTTCGAATTAATTCGCCGCGTATTGCCTCCAGACGTCTCAAGTGTGCTGCCAAATCACCACCAGGCTGCAACTTCGTCTGGTACAACTGCTTGAAAACGTCAATGCAGACGCTGACTCTTTTCTAACATGCACTGCTGCAAGACTGTCCCACATTTCTTTGGCAGTTTTCTTATTTCTTATATAGACTACTTGCTGGTCGCTGACTGCCAAATTAATTATCGCCCTGGCTTTCGCATCTCCTTTCGACCAAGCATTAGTCACAGGGTCAGGAGGGTCATCAGTTACATAGGTCCATACTTCTCTAGAGGTCAAAAGCGCCTCCACCCGAAAAGACCATAAACTATAGTTCTCATCTGTCAGCTGTGGGAAGACCAGAGCCTTCTCAGCTTCAGGAACCCGGTCAACCATTCTGGAACTCTTCCAGACCCACAGAACTACGCTAACAGGAGAAGGAGTTTTCAAACCTTTCTCAGAGTCCAAAAATATGCAGTCATCCACTCAGCAGCTGGGCCCATAACCAAAGATGTTGACTTCTGCAGTATGGTAGCGCTGCAGAGAGCTTGCTGGGGAGACCATGCATTAAAAAGGGACTCAAAAATAACTTAAACAAGGTTTTAATAAGAAAAACAAAAACTCCTTTTACACTAAATACATTAACAAACAAACATGACCCAACCACCAACCCATCCCCCAGGGTAATGGGAGAGCTAGGTGCTGCTCCTTATATACTACACCCAATTACCAACACAGCTTAATCAATACAACTCAGCAGCACCTGCTATGTTTCACAGCTGTAAAGCTGGGTCTCGTTATTTTGCTCTGGCCCTTTCTCTGGCCCCTTAAAGACATACACATCGAGTGGAACAATGATGAACCTTTACATATTAAACCATTCAACATTTCGAACCGCCGACCTTTCGATCGGCAAGTCCTAGGCGCTGAGGCTTTTACCCCCAGCGCCACCCGGGTCCCCATTATATATGTATATAGGTTCTATATAAATTTTTCCCCTGTGGTTGATATGACCATGAAGATTGAAACAACAAACTATTCCATCATAAAATCTATAGTGAACATGTGAAAGTGGGCAGTCAGAGGTGGATCTCAACCAGCTGAGGACCACTATATAATTATATAGTTTTAGCTTTTTTAAAAAACAAAAACGCTTTTGAGGGGTTTTTTAACCATCACGTGGTGAATAATTTTTATGAAGTGAGATAAATATAGGTGGGTGGGTATGCGCGCCCTTGACTACTGAACGCTGGTCACGTCAACCTGCTGCTGAGGCTGACACACCTGAGGTAAAAAAAACAACTAGGCCAACTAGAGAGGAGCCAAATAATTACCGCCCAGTCAGTCTGACATCAGTACCAGGGAAGATTCTGGAGCAGATCATTAAGCAAACAGTCTGTGAGCACCTAGAAAGGAATGCTGTGATCACCAATAGTCAGCATGGATTTCTGAAAAATAAGTCATGTCAGACTAACCTGATCTCGTTTTTTGACAGAATTACAAGCCTGGTAGATGAAGGGAACGCAGTGGATGTAGCCTACCATGATTTCAGCAAGGCATTTGACAAGGTGCCCCATGATATTCTTGTAAGGAAGCTGGTAAAATGTGGTCTTGACTATGCTACCACTCAGTGGATTTGTAACTGGCTGACTGACCGAACCCAAAGGGTGCTCATCAATGGTTCCTCTTCATCCTGGAGAAGAGTGACTAGTGGGGTGCCACAGGGTTCTGTCTTGGGCCCGGTCTTATTCAACATCTTTCTCAACGACTTGGATGATGGACTCAAGGGCATCCTGATCAAATTGCAGATGACACCAAATTGGGAGGGGTGGCTAACACCCCAGAGGACAGGATCACACTTCAAAACGACCTTGACAGATTAGAGAACTGGGCCAAAACAAACAAGATGAATTTTAACAAGGAGAAATGTAAAGTATTGCACTTGGGCAAAAAAATGAGAGGCACAAATACAAGATGGGGGACACCTGGCTTGAGAGCAGTACATGTGAAAAGGATCTAGGAGTCTTGGTTGACCACAAACTTGACATGAGCCAACAGTGTGACGCAGCAGCTAAAAAGCCAATGCAATTCTGGGCCTGCATCAATAGGAGTATAGCATCTAGATCAAGGGAAGTAATAGTGCCACTGTATTCTGCTCTGGTCAGACCTCACCTGGAGTACTGTGTCCAGTTCTGGGCACCACAGTTCAAGAAGGACACTGACAAACTGGAACGTGTCCAGAGGAGGGCAACCAAAATGGTCAAAGGCCTGGAAACGATGCCTTATGAGGAACGGCTAAGAGAGCTGGGCATGTTTAGCCTGGAGAAGAGGAGGTTAAGGGGTGATATGATAGCCATGTTCAAATATATAAAAGGATGTCACATAGAGGAGGGAGAAAGGTTGTTTTCTGCTGCTCCAGAGAAGCGGACACGGAGCAATGGATCCAAACTACAAGAAAGAAGATTCCACCTAAACATTAGGAAGAACTTCCTGACAGTAAGAGCTGTTCGACAGTGGAATTTGCTGCCAAGGAGTGTGGTGGAGTCTCCTTCTTTGGAGGTCTTTAAGCAGAGGCTTGACAACCATATGTCAGGAGTGCTCTGATGATGTTTCCTGCTTGGCAGGGGGTTGGACTCGATGGCCCTTGTGGTCTCTTCCAACTCTATGATTCTATGATTCTAACTTTCCCCTCAGAGCTCCATCCTCCCCTTGTGAAGCTTCTGACAGGGTACTTTTTTACCTCAGGAACGGGAAAACAAAACCACGCGACACGCCTAGCCCCGCCCCCTTTCGACGCCCGCCCTGCTCATTCGCTCGCTGCCTCCTGCTTTCCTCCAACTGCCCCGCCCCTCTCTGGAGACCCGTCCAATCCGACGCCGTACCTTGAGCCACGCGCGGGCGTCGTCACACAACAGGCCAGCGTCGCGCGACTCCTGGCCAGGGGCGCTGTCGTCCCATCAGGCTACCGCTTCCTTCTCTTTGCCCGCCCCCTCTTTCCCTCCTCAGCCGTTGGGCCGCTATCCGGAGCGGCCACGCCCACCGCTTACCTGCTCACACGTCACGTCGCGAGAGCGTTGGATTTCGACCTGCGCGGCGCTTTTGGCGGAGTAAGAGGAAGGAGGCGGCGCAGGATCAGGCAGAGGAAACACCTGTGGAGGGCGAAGGGCCTCCCTCGGCTCGAAGGACAAAGGGCGGGCAAGCGAGAGGGGGGCGGTTCCCGGAATGCAACGGGGTGTAGCCCCCCACTAGTCCACCTTCTGGTCCTCCTCCTGTGCGCAAGCCCCTTTTGGGTAAGTAGGATGCAGCTACTTGCGGGGCTTAAAATTCAATCTGCTTGGGCGTCATGGTGGCTTTTTAATTGCAGGAGCTCTTTTTGAAACAGCAGGAACAAATTGGCAGGTTCTGTAGCTTGTCCTCAAAGCTGCCTCTTACTCAGGCCATACGTTTAAAACATGCTTTAGTTATTTATTGCATGTATATCCCACCTTTTTCTCCGAGAAACTCAAGGTAGCATGTATGTTTCCCCCCATTTTCTCCTCGCAACAGCCCTGTGGGGTTAGGTTAGGCTGAGAGTGTGTGGCTGGCCCAACGTCCCTCCTGATAATAATAATAATAATTTATTTATTTATTCATACCCCACCCATCTGGCTGGGTTTTCCCAGCCACTCTGGACGGCTTCCAATAAAAGATTAAAAATACATTAAAACACCAGTCATTAAAAACTTCCCTAAACAGGGCTGCCTTCAGATGTCTCATGGGTGATTTCAGATCCTAGTCTGACGCTAACCACTGCACCACACGGGCATCACAATATAAAGTCACTTCCCAGGCGCCCTCAAATTCAGCCTTCCAGATGTTTTGAGACTAAAATTCCCATCATCCCTGACCACTGGTCCTGCTAGCTAGGGATCATGGGAGTTGTAGGCCAAAAACATGGAGGGCTGAGTTTGAAGAAGCCTGCTTCAAACAGTCATAGCTGTCTTCCCCCCCCCCCCCCGAATAATTATGGGAGCTATAGTTTATTAAGAGTGCTGAAAGTTGGTAGGATACCTCCCAGAGTGAAGGCCAAAATGAGGAATTAGTACAGCTTTTCTAGCCTCTTCTATCCATGTCCCCGGGTGGTTTCCTGCTTCCGATGTATCTAAAAACTATGTAAAAGTTTGTCTTACCAATAAGCTCTTCAAATTATTTTCCACTTGTATTACCCATTCACTAATGCTTGTTTTGCCACATTATGTGTTCCTTATTATTTTTATTTAAATAAGACATGCATTTCAAGTAAAGCTTTTTTGCTTCCTTAACTCTGCTCATTAGCCATACTGGCATTCTGTTAGATTATTTGTATATTATTAGTTCACTAAATATATGGGAACTCATTTGCATAGGGTCCTTGTTAACTCAGTGTTTTGAGGAAGACAAGCTTTTTATTTGCGGCATTGTAGCCTATTTTTAGAAAAGCCTACCTGTCGAGGTTACCGTTCTTGTATCTTCACTGTGGTTTGATGTATCCCCTTCCATTAATTCATGGCAATTTTATGCAGGTACAACAATGGATCTTGTCCTGGCATATGCAGATGACTCCGTTTTGACGCCTTATGTTTATCCAACAGCATGGCCAGAAAATAACCCTTTTCGACAGTTTATTAGCCTTATTGTCATAACAAATGTGGGTGCTCTTATCCTTTATTTGCTGATTGGCAGTCTCAGCTACTACTTCATATTTGATCACTCACTAAAGAAACATCCTCAGTATTTGGAGGTGAGTCACTGTGTCACAGCTCTTCCCTTTTCTAAGTTCTTCAGTGGTCTATGGCTAGACTTCAGAGAGTCTTGTATGTACCTTTCTGGAATTTCTGTACGCAGACAGACCTCTGCTGTGTGTGGTGCTTTTGTTTGTTTGTTTTCACCCTAGTAAATGCAGTCACGTTTTAACCAATATGGTCATTTTGGAACATCCTTGTAACACTTAATATTTTGAAATGCAAACAGTTTAGATTTAAACTATGGGTATTTTCAGTGTGATTTGCTATTTCGGTGAAAGCATTTTCTTCTCTTAGCATTTCTAGGCCTAATCTGCTTAAGGTTGTTACGCTCCAACTATTTTGTGCAAATGTTCATTGGCTTCTGGAATATAGTGAGGTAGCCTTTTTAATTCGCAGAGCTTAAAGAGCTAGAATGGTGATTTTTCCACCTATTCTTTCTGAACCTGCTTGCTTAAGATTGCGGTGGTGACTCTAGTGCTTATGTAAACTAATCTGGATTACTGGAGTATGAACAAATGAAGTACTCACTTTGGTGGGCTGGCATCTTGGCCAAAACCTTCGACGCAATCAACGCTTCTGGTATCATCCCCAAAATATGGAAGGAGGCCATTATAGTACCAATTCATAAAAAAGGTTCTCCAATGGAGCCGGAAAATTACCGTAACATCAGCCTCCTTTCGATCATAGGGAAAATTTATGCCAGCTTCTTGCTGACGAAACTATCGCGATGGGTAGATGAGACTAACCAGATTGGCCACGAACAAGCAGGGTTCAGAATTAAACGCTCTACAACTGATCATGCGATAGTTCTTTACCATCTGGCACGGAAGTACTCCTCCCCTCCCCGGGGCTACCTGTGTGCTGCCTTCTTAGATCTTAAGGCAGCCTTCGACAGCGTTCCTAGAAATATTCTTTGGGAGAAACTTGCGAAACTGGGCATCGATAGAAGGCTCTTATGGCTCATAAGTCAGCTCCACGAAGGTACCCTTGCCAGAGTGAGACTTACTCCTGCGGGCGACCTCACAAATTCGATACCAATCAACAAGGGAGTGCGCCAAGGATGTATATTGGCCCCCTGCCTATTCAATCTATTCATCAGCGACATGCGAGCACCTCTAGTCAACTCATCTCCAAGTACACATGCGCCTAGACTAGCGGATTACCGCTGTCCACTCCTTTTATATGCGGACGACGCGGTAATTCTATCTTATACACGTGTTGGACTAACCAGAGCTCTGAAGATCTTTGCCACGTATTGTCAACTCAACCAATTAACCATCAATCATGCTAAATCTAAGATTCTGATTTTCGCCAGAAGTCGGAGATTATACGAATGGAAGCTTGGTGGAGCAAAAATAGAGCAAGTCCTAAAATTTCAATACCTAGGAGTTATTTTTCAATACAATCTGGGGTGGAAAGCACATATTCAACACCTACTTAATAAGGCCAAAACTTTGTCATATGCGCTCCTCCGATTTTTCTTTTCGGATGGAGCTTTGCATGTTCCCTCGGCCCTAAAGGTGTTCAAGGCAAAAGTGGTTCCCGTGCTTGCTTATGCTGCCCCGCTCTGGGTCGTGATGACAGACCTTGCTCCTCTTGAGACTTTGCAAAACCAATTCCTACGTCGGCTCCTAATGCTCCCCCTGTGCGTAAGCAACGCAGCCATGCGTCTAGAATTGAGGATCGCATCCTTAGAAACTTGCCTGTGGAAGCAAGTCTTCAATTATTGGTTATCATTGTGGCATAGATTACCAGACCATTACCTTGCCCAATGCTTATGGCGAGATGAATTCTCCAGCCTTTGGACCAGTAGAATTCATGCCAAACTTCTGAGCTATGGAATCTCTCCCTTAGATTCCCTAAAACTAGATCAAATCACTGCTCAAAGACTGATCCGCCAAAGACTGGATGACATCGATTTACAGCAAAATTATATGCTGGGGGGAGGTGTTTGTTCGCCCCAGAACATTGGTATCACTTTAACTTACTGCGTTCCATCATACCTCTCCTCCCTTTCGACTGCTGCCCATAGGCTGGCCTTCACCAAAGCGAGGTTTAATGTTTTTCCCTCCAATGTCCTGAGACATAGATTCTCAAAGGGCCAAACCTCCGCCATGTGCGAATGTGATAAGGAGACGCCGGAGTCGCTTCAGCACATTATGTTCACTTGCCCCTTATTTAAGGTGCCACGGGCAAATTTGTTGGGATCAATCATACAGAAATTAGAGGGTACTCCACCAAAATTCCACCTTGCCCAAATCTTGCAGGATAAGGATGCCCATACGACCCTGAAAGTGGCTAGGTTCCTGGTCGCTGTCCTTACCCAAAAGCGTTGCCAAGGAGCACCACAAGCTAATTAAGGCGTAGTATGCCATTCCATCTTATAGTAGTTTATTGTTATAGTAGTGTTTTAGCGGCTGTTTTTCCCATGTGCACAGGCTGTTATTTATGTCTTGTTTTTATCTGTATGGGCCTACGGCCGTAATAAATTATTATTATTATTATTATTATTAT